AGGAGGGTTGGACTAGATGACCCACAGAGGTCCCTTCCAACCCCTACTATTCTGTGATACTGTGTGATTATGTTGGCAGGTGTTCACTGTAAGCATAGCTTTAATTTACTTTGCAGACTTTTCATGGAAAGTCTGCAACACAGACTTCAACATGATGTAGAAGTGGAAGACACATCTTACTTCTACATAGCCCAGATCTCAATGATGGTTACATATGTTCATGCTGGTGAAAGAAGCTTTATTTTTCTTATATCTGTTTATGAAATAGGAGCAGCTTGGACAATGACATGTAACTCAGCTGAGCATGCCCTGACACACCCAAGACGGGGTCATGAAATTATCACTGTGCTAATATGACCTGAAAGAGAAACATGGATGTGTTTATAAAATGTCCAAGCATCTCATAAATTTGCAAGGCAATAAGCAGCCTTTTATGGCCAACCATTCAACGAATGTTGTTCCTAAAACAAACCAAACAGGAATAAAGTTTCCCTTGTGACTCCTGATTAGCAACATCAGCAAACGATCGGGTCCAGATTCTGTGCCGTGGTGTATTAGCCTTGGCCTGGTAAATGCCCTTGCAATGAACTCTCTGCTAACAGAAAGCTTACACTACAGCCACTGTTCTGCCTACTGCTCTCTGTGATTAGGGATCGCAGTTAGGACAAATGAGAAATGAAGCAATTGGAAAAGGGGATTAAAACTCTGTTTCGGATCTACTTTTGAGCAGACTTCGTTCAGCATTTTTTTCATCCTGTACAGTACATATTCCATAGCAATTTTGAAAACAGTATCATTTAAAAGTTAACATCTGCTTAGCTGCTAGCACCAGATAAAAGCTCTCATTTGTAATGAAGAGGCGAATTTGTTATTGCCCCAGTCAACAGCTATTGACTTGGTAGAGTACTTCTGCTTATTATGATCAAACCCTTTTTCTTTTTTGTTCAATAGTCAATGACACTGTAATGGAAGGTACTGCTTACAAACTGATACAATATATATCAGCAACTGCTGGAAGTTAATGACTAATGGTTACAAAGAGGAAAGCATGTGCTAAGAACAGCATTACACATCTATTAATAAAATTTACTGCATCTGATGTGCCTTTATAGGTTAGTGGAACTGTAATGCACATCAGATAAATAGTTTCTGCTGTTATTAATCTAAGTTTTAACACAAAGCTCTTTTTAATCATGCTATCATTACATAAATAATTTGGCTACGACAAGGTTCTGTCTAACTTTTACAGCACACCTTTTAGTTATAGGAAATTTGTATCCAGTGTTGTCTTGTGCAATCCTAGATTTAGGATTTAGTGAAATGTAAGGTAACCGTTCTGCTCCCAGCTGAAGCCACGTTATTCTCTAAATACCACAGACGGGGCAGCATATTTGCAAGGGAACATCCTAAAGATAAAGTGGCAAAAGAGAAGCACAGCAGAGTGCGTGTGTCCATTGCTCAGCCTGCCTCCTAGCTTCCCTGCAGCAGTGCAGTACTGTGCAACTTTGTCCTTTACACTTCACATCACTTGCACTTTCCATGCCTTAGAGTGAAATTTGTTGATAACTCATGTATTTTTTATTCTATAATTACTGCTGTAAAATTGCTTTATATTTTTAAACCTCCCGCCTCCAAAATATTTTCTTTCAAACCTTCTCTACTTACTTTGTATCTGAGAGAGATACATATATTTATAGGACAGTGTGACTACAGCAGTAACATGTACTATTTTAAAATTACCTCTAAGCAAACATTCCCAAAACAATAATAAAGTTTGTTGACTCCTTAGAGAAAAGCAGAACTGCTAATGATGACTTCTTGACTTGCAGTCGTCTATAATCACTCTTCCTGTACAACAGGAACAAATACTCTAACATTGGAGAACTGATTTATCTGTTTGTTTGTTTTCTGAATGCAATCTTCATTTCTCTCTAGACCAATGATGAGACATTACAGAAAGAGAATTTATACATGTAGCAAAGATTAAACAATCATGCCATTGCCAAGTACATTATCCTGTACTCTGTGCGCACCATCTAATTGCATTTAAACAATGTTCGTAAATCACAGCTATTAGCCGTTTTCAGAAACGAGACATACACTACCAGATCCACCACATGGATCCTAGTCATACCTGTGATACTCATTCACAAACTGCCCATGTTGGTGAAGACTGGTGGAATTTAATTGCTACTATACTGCTTATCATGCAGCAAAAAAAGGAGCTAAATTCAATTAAGTTCCTACATATTTACACCTCTTGACAAAGATCTCCAGTGCTGCTCAGCCAGTATTAACTCATGTTCTTGTTTGTTGTCAGCACAGCAGCTACTGACAGGAGAGCAATGGAGGAGATTAAGCCATATCTTTCCAGAAGTCTGCAATGTAATGGGTTTTGGTAGGCTAGTAACTAAACATTCCTAAGTAATAATGAATTTATCCAGCAGTACTGTGTGAAGAAAAAAAAAGATCCTCTTCATCTTAATTTAGAACCACAGAGAGACAGATTTGAACAATGTAATCTCAGAAACCTTTTGAAATTCCATTCCAATGACATGAGTTCAGGAGCTATACTCTCCTCTTTGTTCTAGTACGCTGTGTTTTCCAAACACAGCTTTTGATACTGTAACAAGGGGAAAACAGGAAATATTAATAACATATTTATTGCATTTACTGTAATGGTAACAGGACATCATTGTTTCATACACACAACACTTGATCTTTTAAAGAAAAATGTAAGTACTGCAAATCAGCTAACAACATGGCTTAGTTGAGACAATGATTAATTTTGAGAAGAGTATAATTTACGAATTTCTTAATTCATCACTGCAAAAAGTTGGCATTAAAGAAATTGCATGCATGTTAATAAGACTTTTTACTTAATACTTAAATGATAACTAGATATTTCAGCATTCCAGAAAAGTTCATAACACCACTAAAAATGCTAGATTTCAGAGGCAAGTTTAAAAGAGTTTACATTTTATTTCTTTAAAATAGGAAATTGATCTCTTCTGGTAACAAAATCAGTAAAACACAACCAAAAAATCATGAGTGCTTGTGGGAAAACAAGAATGTAGCTGCTACTTTACAAGACAATTTGACTTCATTGTCAATTCAGTTACCTTTATGGTTTTCTCTACTGTGTTCCACTGGCCTATAAGCAAACTCTTCAGTCTATTTCATAAGAACCTGTGAAGACTTTATTTGAATGAGGAGGATTTTTACTAAAATGTTTCAATTTTTTTTCTATTTGAAAACAAATAGGCTATGCGTTTCCTATTATGGTCCCAAACTCTGCAGTACCTACTGTCGCTTTATGATTTCAATAAATTCTGAGAATTGCACTTCATATTGAATGTGGAAGTAATGCTGAATTTTGATACTAAATGACATAAAATGGGAAAAACAACAAAAAAATATTAATAGCAACTTACTTTTTGTAACAACTCCTTCAAGGCGAATTATATTTGGGTGATCAAATTGTCCCATGATACTAGCCTCTCTCAGGAAATCTCTTCTCTGCCTATCCACATAGCCGCCTTTTAGAGTTTTAATTGCAACAGGTATCTCTCTTTTTCCTGGTGTCTTCAGACGTCCACTGCATACTTCTCCAAACTCGCCTTAAATAGATAAAATATTTGTTAGACCACTCACAGTGCCTGAAGAACCACAGTATGGTTTGTATTGCTGAACTTAAACACCTTATTTTTAAAAATAACTTTCAACAGCTGTCTTAAAAGCTATCTTTTTTAATAGTTCAGATTTATTTGTAGATGTTAGTGAAAGAAGAACGCAAAAATACTCAAGAAACACACACATCCTGTAGAAGTGGACAGAGAAATAATGGATGGGATATTCAAGTTCCCAAGTTTCATCACATCCCAGTAAAGCAAAATATTTAGCATGACTTCACAACAAATAATCACCTTTCCTTTGTGCCACACCACGAGATCATGGGGACCTTTATTTTCACTACAATAGCCAAACCATCTACCCTTCACAGTCTGGTTCATCTTGCTTTACTGACACTTTGAGACTGAACTTTGATATCAGTATGTTTGTGGTATAACTGTGGATGCCATGAGGAAGGAATGTAATGACGCTTACATTTTAACTCGATGACAAAACATCTATCTAAAATTTTGATTTATAGCAGTATCTATCCATAGGGCTGTCATGCACCAAGACCTATATGAAAAGAAATGCCATCAGAATCTCAGAATATCTGACTATCCTCCAACTGTAGAAAGAATTTAAAATGTATTTAATGCTATTATGCCACAGAAAAGCACCTGCACATCATTTATTGAAACGGACTTACACACCTACTTGAAATTAATTACGTATTTCGCTGTTCAGACAGACAAAGGCCAACAGTTTCAGCAAATCAGGACGGAGTTGCATAACTAGAGGAATCTCAAAGCTTGCTTTACCTGATATTTTCCTGTGTATGTATGGGTCTTTGAAGAATGCATGTCTCCTCACATTCACTTTACACATTTACTAATTAAGTCTGAATGGAAATCACAACTTTCCTTTGATCTTGAAGCCACCCAAAAGTTATTTAAAGCCCCTACCAAATATACTCTGGATGCCTGCAGGTCAGTTTTCAATGGGTCATAATTTGGTAAATCAAAATAAATGTTCATAAAAGTATTTCAAGGCACTTAGTGCAGGGTACTTCTATAGCGAAACTACATTCTCTACCCCCATCATTTTGGAATCAGAACTGCTGAAAAACAAAAAAACCAGTCATAAACAGATACATACTTAACTGGAGGAAATAATTTGTTACCCCCTCCATTGAGTGCTGTCTGAATTAGTTTCCCTTCAACTTTCAGGAGAGAACAAAAGGAAACAAAACAAAAAAGCTCTATCCTGTAACAGTATGTCTTCAGATATGAACCAGATCTAGAAGAGAGAGGCCTGAAAGACAGAAGCTTCACTTCATAAAATTATAACTCCCTGATGTTATAGGATTAGAATGGATATTGCCATACAGCTTTTATTTTATTAGGTTCTGTCGCTTCCGCTAAAATAAAACAAGGTTTTATTAGCCAATAAGATTCAGGAAGAGTGGAGGGATTAAAAAAACCGATTTCATAGATTGTCTTCACTTCAAAACAGAGACATCATCAAGTGCAAGAGTACAATCAACAGATGCTGAACATAACCTCAGAATAAATTAGCAGCTTCTGAAACAGCTAACAAAAGCCAAGCGTCCTGGGTCTTCTTTCTACCAAAGAAAACCCCATTTGTTTTATTTCTACCTAATGTTTAAAAATAAATCAAAGCATGTGTGAAAATATATGTCATCAGACTAATGCTCTGGGAATCTTTTTACAAAAGGGGAAGTTGGGTAGGGATTTCTCTATACGATTTTGCCCCTTTAGCTCTTACAAGGCTCTCCTTAAAAGTCTGCCTTACTATTGCCACTGGAAAAGTAGTAGCTAAATTGGACTTCTAAAGTCCTACCATAAAACAAAGTCATGAAACCTTAATGCTTTGGAGGAGACACGGTATATCAATCTTCTGTTCTGTGATACATGCAGCAGTGCTAGAACACATCTCTAAAGCCATGACCTTATTGCATTTCAATGGCTTTTCAAACTTGAATGCCTAAAATGAGAAAAAATTCCAATTTCTTTCTCTTGATGAAACAGTGTAGAGGAAAAATACCAGAGCCTTAATATGCAGGTTTTTAAAGAAATTTCATGAACAATCAATCTGCAGAAATGCAAAATCTCATTTTTGAGAATAATTTGGAAAGCATAGGTTATAGAATAAATATTTTTGCTATAACAAGATTATACAAATGTACTACAACTTCAGAATTTCAGAAATAATGGCATTCATACCTCAGGGGCTGTAAAGGGCTGTTCACTAAGTGTTTTGAAATTAATTAAACTGAAGGAGGCAAGTGACGGACCTCCAATCCCAAGATTTATTATCCATACAACATCCAAAGTGGGGGAGGGAAGATCGTGTTTCCTTCCTGACCTGTTTCTTTTCCAATTTTTAGATGCCTGATATGTACAGGTAGAAGGAATTTTCACTCCCCTTGGATATTGGGATTGATAAACTGGTGAACATAAAGACTAACAACAGTTTCTTTTTTGTGACATGATGTCAAACAGACAGTAAGCGAACATCAGGTCACAGAACAGACAGTTACTACATTTAGAAACCTAAGGTATGTGTAATAACTTCTAGTTCTGGTTTAGACTAGATGGAGATCAATGATATAATTTAAAGCTCTGAACTATTTACACTGAGAAAAAGTTTCATGAGATATCATCCCAGAGTATTTTTTCTACAGATATTTTTGTTCAGATAAAGAATTTTGAATGTTTTGAAAGTCAAAGGGGAATGTATTCAACAACAGGGATTTTTAGAATCGAAGAATCTAACTCTTATTGCTCAAGCTTGAAGATAAACAAGACAAATGTTGACCTTGCAGCAGTAAATGTTCGTGACTGCATGTATAATAAGTAGCAGCTAAGAGCCAGATGTCAATGAAGTTGACATCCTTCCTTGCTTCAGGGAAAAAGCTGGTGATAACTACAGAAAAAGGTAAAGTTCATTGTCTGTTCAGTTTTAATAATGTGTAAATAATTCCTGGTTTAATAACATAAACCCCACGTCTTACTGTATGTTATACAAAAAGAAGCTAATTGAGCAGTCTAGAAACTTGCCCTGTGCAAACCACTTATTCAGTCATAACATTTGTGTTATTTAAAATGAAACGAGAATAGTCAGTCAGTTAAAACAAGGGGCAATGGGCACAAATTGAAGCATAGGAAGTTCTGACTGAATATGAGGAAGAACTTCTTCCCTCTGAGGGTGACGGAGCACTGGAACAGGCTGCCCAGGGAGGTTGTGGAGTCTCCTCTGGAGATATTCAAGACCCGCCTGGACAAGGTTCTGTGCAGCCTGCTGTAGGTGACCCTGCTTCGGCAGGGGGGTTGGACTAGATGACCCACAGAAGTCGCTTCCAAGCCCTACTATTCTGTGATTCTCTGTGATTCTGTAAAAGTCTGATATGCAGTCTGGTGTTACTGCATGGGATCAAAACAAATGTCTTGCAACACAGTTGCTGTTAAAACTGAAAGGTCACAGTACCATATACAGCTCAACTCATTTTCCCCAGTTTCAGTCATTAGACCTGTGGGAGAACTGGCAGAAGATTTAGATTACAAAAAGAATATAGCTTACTCTGGGAAAAATCAAAGAGTTGGCCTCTTCCTGGAGTTTCAACATTTTAACAAAGAAAATCAGAGGATAATTGTGACTTTTAAGACAGACCTGACAAAGTACCTCTGGGAATTCCATCCACAAAGAGGTGCTGAAGCCTTAAACCAAAGAGCAAGAAGTGCTGGGGCAGAAAAAAGTGCCACAGACAGGACAAAACCAAATGATAACATGGCAGTAGGTGCAGCAAGCTTATTATGCAGAATGGCTGAAAGGGACCATCTGAAGAAAATCTACAGCAATGAACAGATGGCAAATAGTGGGAGCCGGCAAAAAGGCACCCAGTGATCTTTGTAATGAACAAGGGGAGATGTCATGGAATATTTAATAATCGTGATAAAAAAAATCGATGAAGAGTTTCGAATTCAAGAATATACAATACACCATTAAACTAGTAACTGTTGCTGGAATGTGAACTTCATTAATACCCACTTATTTGGTTGATGTTACCAGGAGAAACATAAGCTAAGCGCTTACAAGTGTAAGTTCTGTTTTGCCTTTGGTATTGTAATCTGCTTGCTATTATGAATATT